ACACCTCTCAATCTGGCCTCAGATTTACAATAGCAGAAAACTTAAGAAGTGGTTTCTATGATAGATTATTTACCTTTAAAAAGAGACTGACATTGAGATCCCATGTTTACATCTGTTAGAATGACTATAATAATTTTAAAATTACAGTTAATAAATCTTAGTGAGCATGTGGAGATTTTGGAACAGTCATACATTGCTGTTGGGAATAAATGATGCAGTAACTTTAGCCAAAAGTTTGGAGAGTCCTCAAAAAGTTTAAAATAGAATTACCATATGAGCCGGCAATTCTACATCTATTTAACCCTCACACTTGAAAAGAAGAGTTCAAACCAAAAACTTGTGCAGGAACATTGATAACAGCACGACTCATAGTAGCCAAAGATGGGAAAAAAACCAACATACCCATCAGTTTTGCTAAATAAATGAAATATGGCTTATCCGTAGAATGGAATATTAGTTATCCATAAAAAGGAATAAAATACTAACACAACATAGAGGGACCTTGAAAACATCATGCAAAGTGAAAGAAAGAAGCCGACACAAAAGGTTGTGTGCTTCATGATTCCATTTGTATGATTTGCCCAGAGAGATATAGAAGGTAAATTTTGTCGCCAGGGCCTAGGGGAAGAGGGAAATGGGGAAAGCCTGCTTAGTTGGTACGAGGTTTCTTTTTTGAGTGATGAAAGTACACTGTCTGAATTAGACAGGGATGATGGTTGCACAACAATGTTAATATACTAACAATCTTTGAAGAGTTCACTTTGTAAGCGGTTAAAATAAACTAATTTTACATGATGGGAGTTTTATTTCAATGAAACGAAGAGATTAAGGTGGATATAAGCCATGCAGCATTATGAAATCTCTGTGGTCATGAATGTTTTAGGTGTATTATCACATCTGTGAACTAAACTATGAGCAAATAAAAACAAACCAGAAAAAGATGGTATTTCTGGGCCACCAGATAGGTAGAGGGAAGTTGCAGTTGTTTTTAAGTTATATCAAATCAGAAGCCCAGTTGAGAATCTGCTTTCCTCCCAGACTTCAGTTTCATGTAAATATTTCCTAAAGAAACAAGAAAACTGATAGAGGCATAGGATTGATCACTACCATGCACCAAGACAACAGCCCATGAGAAATCAGGACTCAACAATCTTCCCATCTTGTTAGAAACTTTTCATGTTTAATTTCACTTGTCTAAACCCTCGGAAAGATTAGGAAGAGATTTTTTCATACAAATTTCTGTCGTCTGGCCCTCCCTTCTTTGGTCACCATCTTTCCTATGCCTCTGTCTTGTGAATGTGTCTAGATAGGAGAACAGAAAGGAGTTGTTTTCCAGGAGGGAGAGAAAGAAGCCTTGTAATTTAGGAAGCTGTTGATTCTTAAACAAACAGCTTTTCTTCCTTCATTGTAACTTTCTCCTCCAAGCTCTGCTTCTCTGTGCTATCATCTCCCAGGTGCACACTTAGATTAGTGTATTTATCACACTGGGCTGTGGGTTTGCGTACTTGTCTTTTCCTGCTTATAAATCTGTAAACTTGTTGACAACAGAGGTGTATTTTATTTCTCTATCTCCAGCATCAAGCATTGTGCCTAGAAAATAGCCCCAAACCTCCCTTTTTAAGTTTTCCTGAGGAATCGCATAGTGTCTTTCTCTTTCCTAGTTCATAAAATGTGGATAAAAAGAAACGGTGGGCCATTTAAAGCAGAGCTTTAATATTTGTATAATATCATTACCTGTTATAATTCCTCATACATTTAAATCTCCCTGAACTATTTCAATTTGCATGTTCTATATCAACAGTTATTATGCTGATGGCTCATTCATTGATCGTTCTTGGTCTTAAATTTCTTGGCAGAGAAAGGGCACTGGGAAACGGGTGGTACATGCTTTAGTAGCTAACGATGGTTATTTAATAGTATCATGCAGTGTGAAAGCCATCATATGTGGAAGATCATTTATTTTTAATTGCAGTCCTGAGTCTCAGTTGGTTTGGTAGGATAGTAATTATTGGGAGCTCAAACTCTGCTTCTGTCAAAATCATTACTAATGTGGTTTTTCCAGTTGGAGCCTATAGTGATCCTCAAATGAGTGCCTCTAATCCATGCCCGTGGTAAAGGTTCCACTTCCTGGAACATTCTGTGCACTGGCATCATCAGAATCATGTTTGCAAACACCTGCCCAGACAGATGGGACCAAGATAAGGATAAGGGGCAAGTACCACTCAGCAACATGCCCCAACCACAGAGGTTGTGTTACCTGAGAACCATCTGCCACTGAGCAGTTAACACAGCAATCTAATAAGAAAGTCACCAGAGCACAAAAGTGACTGTAGGGCTAAGGAACAATCCCGGACTTCATTTCACAGGGATGCCCAATCACGGCCGCTTTGGTAGCCTGTGGTTCAGTTCATCACCAGTCTCCCCGGCCTGCTGATTTTCCTATTGCCTCTTCCGTAGAACAGCACGACAGAGTCTTTTTGTGCTTTTAGAAAAGACCCAGATGGTGTAACAACTCATATGCTTCCCTGTGGATTCCCTACTACTAAATAATATTGCCGAGAGTAAGAATTCAGCACATACAGGAAGATATTCCCTATTATTAGCGGATAAATAAAAACAGAACAAAAGCAGCCCCATGCTAGCTGCATTATTTTGAGTGATCCTGACTAGTAATAAAATTTTTTTCTATCATAAAGACTCTTGGTAGTTAAGGATTTCAAGATGGATTACATTAGTTTCAAAAAACTTTGCCAAAATAATTTTTCATACATTTGTTTCTTTTGAAACAAATCAATTAATGTTTGATTTCGACCAGAGCATTTAAGTACTTACTGCAAATCGCCCATTCCTTGAGTGAGCTATATCTGCCAATCAGCTCTACTGGCTAAGGAGCAGGACAAAGCCCGCAAAGGGCTGGGCCTGGAAGGGAGGCCAGTTTTGCAGATGAGAGCCATGTGGGCGTCTTAACACCCACCACCATGATTCTGCCATTTTATTCCTATTTTAAATACATTGAGTCAGGGAGTCTAGGCCCATGTTCCATCAGCCAGAATATGTTTTATTTAGATGATGAACTTAGATAGCTGATCTTTTCTCCCTTTCTGCAATTAAGTTGGAACCAGAAAGTCATCATTCTGTGTTCACAGCATCCATCTTCTTGACCTCTCCTGCTAGAGGTATGAAGAATGGGCCTTGGGAGAGGAGAGTGTCTGTGAGCTGCCAGAGGTGGGCTCTGAACCACGGGAAGTGAGCTGGGAAGGGGCCGCCTCACTCCTCCCCCTTGGGGAGGCCAGCCTCACAGTGACCGGCAGCAGGCCCTGCCCCTGCTCTCCTCCCTCACACAGCATGGAGTGCCACTTTGTCCTTGAGGAAAGAGCCTGCATGACAGCCTGACTTCTCCTTTCCTGTCACAAGAGCGAGGTAAGAAGATAACACAATCTAGGTGGGGACCACTGCTTATGCAGTTAGCCACTTCTCCAGTTCCTGATACTATATCCTGTCTTCCAAATGATTATATGTTTATTTTTTTATGGAAGTAAAATTCAGATTACAGTAGAACAGACTCAATTCCATAGGTGCATTATACGTGCTCACTTTTCCTGCCCTCGTTTCTTAGTTAAAAAGAACTGCAGATTAAGATCAGAATTC